AAGGGCAGGATTTGCCGCAGACTGGGGTGGGGAGAGCCCCAGGGATAGGGGCTACGTGGGCAGGACAGGAGCAGCCCCCGGGGCTGAGGATGTGTTTCTTCCTAGGGTAGATGAGGGAGAGGCCAGCAGCGGCCGTGGGGCACAGGAGCTTTCTCAGGTTTGGTGCTAAGACAGGGTTCGCTCTGGGAAGGTGTGGGTCAGAATTTGCTCTGTGTTTCTGAACCATGTCTCTCTGCCTGCAGCAGCAGCATGAGGACCTGTCCTCTAAGAAGCTGCGGCTGACCAAGCCCAGCAAGTCAGCAGCGCTCCACGTCGACCTGTGCAAAGCCACATCACCCGCAGATGCCTTGCAGTACTTGCTCCAGTTTGCCAGGAAGCCTGTGGAAGTGGAGAGTGTGGAAGGGGTTGTCAGGATCCTGCTGGAGCATTATTACAAGGTGATGAAGTTGGGAGCCAAGCGAGCTTTCAGAATCCTCCTTCTGGTCTTGTTTTCTTGGGGTTGGATGTGGAGTAGAGAGTCACAGGCTCCTGGTCCTGACTCAGTTGCCAACAGCCTGGGCTGTTGGAACCCCTCTGTGAGAAGAATGAGTGACTGTAGTCCGTTACCCGAGTGATTCCTGATCATGTTACCAGGTCCCTTTGCTGATGGTTTCAGGAGCCAGTGACAGGGATGTGACCCTGCAGATGGCCTGCATGATTAGTCTTAAATTAACAAGGCTTAAAGACATGATGAGTTTTCCAGGAAACCCGGCTGTCCAAAGCTGGCTTAGCTTTATCTGAATCATTCCTGACTGATGTTTCCTTACCTTGCTCTTAATTTGCTTTAACAGTGGAGAAACTTTTTGGCTATTTCTTATGCTGCAGACAAAGCACTTTTAAAATGGCACTTCTGAAAAACTTTTCAACAAAAAATTCTTAACAACAAAGTAACAAATAAATAACAGAAGTAATATGTGCTTCTTAGTAGCCAGATATTGATCCTTCACTTGATAAAGCAAAACTTTATTGCAGCTGACAAAGCTGCACTGTAGGCTGAAACATTTCTTACAAAAGTCCTTGTGCTATTCTGTTTTGTTTGGGTTTTTTTTTTTTTTACAATTGAGGCTATTTTGTTTTGAACTTAGACTAAAACTCTAAGCTGCATTTTATCTATTTCTGTACTCTACCTGCTTTGCCTTGTGTGTTGAGACTGTTTTACTTTTTTTTTTTTTTTTTTTGTATGGGAACTTACTTTCATCATTGGACTAGTCCCCAGTCAGAAGAGTGTACCACTTAAGGAACCTAACCTGGTGTAGTGTACAGCTTAAGGAACCTAACTGGTGTAGTTCCATAGCTTTCTATGAAGAAAACTGTAGTTCCTGATCAAATAATGCAAGTTATTTGGTGTTTGAAGTTGGTGTTACAGCCTATATTAGAAGAGAGACTCTTAAATCTACAGATGAGGTCACATTTTCAGTGCACAACCTGTTACAGAAACTAGCTTTTAAAAAGCTACAGGACTACAAAGCATTGTAGCAGCAGGGGGGACAGGATACCGTAAGCTGGTGTTGCTGTCAGCAGCGGTGTGTCCTCAAACAATGGCCTGAGGTGATTCTGAAAATCCCATCCTGACTCCTGAGGGTGGTCGGAACGAGGGATTAGGGGCACCTGCACTTACTGGTGTTTTGGTCATGGAGACACCGATCAGACCTGTAAACTAAAAAGATAAATTTCTCTAATTTCCTGCTCATGAACCATTAGAAGGAGGGAGAAAATGGCCCTGGAGTGTGAGGCTGCTCGTAATTTGGTAATGAAAACGTTGCAGACATTATTCATAAGGCTTTAAAAAGTGCCTTTATAAGTTCCTTTTTAAAATCATTGATTTCATCTGTATTCATGGAGAGGGTTGTCCTTTTAATAAAAGAACATGAGTAATGGTGAGTAAACATCAAATGTACACTGTGGAAATCCATGCATCCTACCACTGATGTGAGTAGTCCAAGTGAGTAATGGTGAGTAAACATCAGATGTACACTGTGGAAATCCGTGCATCCTACCACTGATGTGAGTAGTCCAATGACAGTAACCGTTGTTCAAGCACATAATTTTGGCCTTGAAAAAGAAAATGCTTCTCAGCTCAGTTGAGAAAGAGGTTACTCCCATGGGTATCACATTTGTCACTTGGGTGGGGTGTGTGACACTGAAGTCTCTACTAAACACTGTTGAAAGATGGATAAGTTGTAACTGTGATATTTCTGCACCTATTGAGAGATGTAATATTTGTAATTGTAATATTTCTGCACCTCTGTGTTCAGCATTGCACAATTGCCTGGTAAGATCTAAGTATGAAATCCAGACTTCTTTTTGTCTTTCTACCCTGTTTTGGGTATCCTTGGCAATACGATGATAGAGAGAGTTTCCAGTTATGATCAGAAGTCTTGTGTGCACATGTCTGTAGAAGTCTCAAAATAACAACTTTGAAATGCATGAACTTTTAAAATGAATTTAAAATCAATACTAATTTGTGAAGCTTATTTCTGTAATTACCACCTGTGACAGCTTTTGCTGTTGCTTAAATGAGCAGATGTATGCAGCTAACATACACTTCTATTATTTTTATTTTTTTTTACCTTGCTGTGTTGCGTTTCTCGCTTATGAAAGAGATTGGCAGGATTCCTCCCCACTGTTAAGAGAAACAGTTGTTTTCTGTAGCCCACGTACCTTGCTGCTTAGCAGAGGTCAGGAGACCATCAGTCTCAGTTCATCTTCTAAAATACTCCCATTTGTCATTAAAAACTTGCAAAGATATTAACATTATCAACATCGAATTTTCCAGCATCTTGAAAACCTGATTTATTTAAACTTTAAATTTTCAAACAGTATGAAGGTAATTTTGAGGAATTATGATTAAAAGAATCATTTTGAAATGTACTGGAAGCTGCCATGTAAACATTCTGGCATGGTTAATTTTCTGTGGGGTGTGCTGTGGACGTATGGAGGAGGAAGTAGCCTGACAGTAAAGTTCAGACCTTGTGCTGAATTGTGTATAGGTCCTGCCTGTACGTAGTATTTTACGCTCTTCAAACTGGAAAATGAATGAGGGTGTCTGCTGTTTCCTTCCAGGAGAACGATGCCTCTGTAAGGTTGAAGATTGCTTCCTTGCTGGGCTTGTTATCAAAGACCGCAGGATTTTCCCCAGATTGCATTATGGATGATGCCATTAACACGCTTCAAAATGAGAGTAAGTCTCAGCGTTTCAGGTAATGCTTGAGATCAAGGCAGAATCACGTGGTCTTTAAGCATTTAGGACAGTGGCAAGGCCCTTACATCTGAAGTGTATAATTGGGAATTGTTGCTCAGAGTATTTATTTTCTGCTTTGATGAATATTGACAGACAATACCATGTTCTGAGGAGGAGAAAACGTTCCTCAGACCTGCCTGCTCTATACCTGTGTTTTAAGGGAGTGCAAAATTTGCTTTTGCATTTCCGTGGGAGAGCTGTTGCTTCTGAAGTGCTCTGTTCTAGAGAACTAGTCTTGTTAAAGTGGAATCTTGTTTGAAGAGGAATTTTTTTTTTCCTTACCATGCTGCAGGCTAGCTCATCAGAGCTAATGCAAGAAGGCATTAGTTGATTAGCATTGGATTTGTAATAGACAGTAAGATATAGGTTATCCTGTTTGTGGCTTCATTAAAGTCCATTTTTATTTTCTGTTATATTCGCAGTTTGTATGTGCTTTACTTGATGCAGTTTAGTTTTATTTTAATGTCATTTATAGAATCAAATAATGGTTTGGTTTGGAAGGGACATTTAAAGCTCATCTAGTCCAACCCCCTTGCTGTGGGCAGGGACACCTTTCACTGGATCAGGTTGCTCAAAGCCCCGTCCAACCCGACCTTGAACGCTTCCAACGATGGGGCATCTACAGCTTCTCTGGGCAACCTGTTCCAGTGCCTCACCACCCTCATCATAAAAAATTTCTTCCTTTTCTAAACCTACCCTCTTTCAGTTTAAAACCATTGCCCCTTGTCCTGCCCCTATAAGCCTTGGTAAAAAAATCTCTCTCCATCTTTCTTATAAGCCCCCTTTATATATTGAAAGGCCAGAATAAGGTCTCCCCAGAGCCTTCTCTTCTCCAGGCTGAACAAGCCCAACTCTCCCAACCTTTCCTCATGGGTGGTCCATCCCTCTGACCAT